CCTGTTCCTCTTCTATTATAAAGTGAGTATCAAAGAATTCTTGTGCCTTCTCTATCGTATCGATTTTATATTTTTTGTCGTCCCAAGATATTAAGATTCCCTCTGGCACCAGCCAGAGGAACATTATTTTGTGTTGAATCAGTAGGGTTGTCAAAAAGTTGTAGTTTTTTCTGTATTCTCTTATTCTTCTTGGAACTTGTTTTAGGGTTATTATTTCTTTCCCTTGGTAGCAGGGTTTTCCCTCTCTCATGGACGTGTAAATCTCTTCTTTTACAGTTTTACGTGCGAATCTAACATGTATTTCTTTAGGTAGTTTGTTCCTACGAGCATAGTTCGTATGGACTCTATATATTTCGTCAATTTCCCTACTAATATCGCTTTTTTCCTTTTGGGTAGCCTCTACTAATATATCTGTCATCAGGTCTCTTAGATCTTCTCCTTTTGTTTCTGCAATATTTTGAAATCGTAAGAAGAATGATGCTTTTTCTAATTCTAAATGGGTAATTGACTCTTCGAGTTCTCTATTTGACTCCATTTGATTTTGTTCGATATTGTCCATCTTTTTCTCCGTTAGAATCATTTTGGCTTCCATGTTTTGGATTCGTTCTTCGTTTTTGACTATGTTTTGTTGTATTCTCTCGATCTTATCGTCCATTTTTTTAATATTATCATTTATTTGTCCTACTTCTGATTTCAATTCCTCATGGTTCTTTTTTGTTTCTTCGTGGTTATTTGCAATTGTTTCTTGGGTTTTGTTCATCCCCTCCTGAATCATAGCTAGGATAGACTGTATATTCTGTATGCTGTGTGCACTGGCAGTTTTTTCTTTGTCTGTAGTTAACATCGTGTCTATGGTTTTTTGTTGTGCGGGTGAAGATTGTGTAGGTATTGGGTTGTTGTTAATTTTTTCCCTGATTTAGTTATTGTTAGTGAAGATGTTGCCATCGTTGTCTTTTGTATTAATTTTCCCCAAATTTTCATATACTAATTGATTGGGGGTGGGTGAAATATCGTTATATAAGGATCAGGATAATTAATTCGAAGGAGTTAGGGAGAAAAAACAATATTTTAACAATTCATTCTTCTATTCTTGTCCCTAAACAGTATAATGCAATTAATACTTAAATACTGAATAATCACAATACTTAAATTCACTTTAAAATTAAACAATCTCTATATAACCTTTCTATGATAGATCAATGGGATTAAAGTTCTCTATAAATAATCTAAAGTATTCTATTGAGTTATATCACCGTTACCAATATATGCTACCTATATTAATTATTACAATTATTATTCCTTAATGATATCTATAACAATCTCTATGCAATGTCTATATTAATATCTAACTTTCTAGTCAATATGCAATATAATTCCACTTAATCAATATATTATTTTGCAATCTATATAGTTATTTCAATAGGGTGGGAAACAGTAAGACAATAAGAAAAAGAAATAATAATAATAATAATAATAATAATAATGTTAAATCAATTCCTTATTATGTATTATAATAATTTCAGATTTGATATTAATATTCTTTTAGCAAAGTTAAGTAAGTTTTAAAATAGATGAAATTTAGTAGTTTAATATTTAAAATTCTCAAGTATATCACTTTCAGACCAATTGGGGTTGCTTCCTTCTCCTTTCCTTCTTCCTTCGTTCTTCAGTTCGCCCTCTTTTCACTCAGCTGTCCCAGTTCTATTTCAATATCCTCTATTAAATCCGTAAATAAATCAATTGTTCCAATATTCCTGTGTAGTAGGTTGTATCTCCTTTGGCAACAGCGTCAATGTATCTAATGTCTCACTACACGTCTCGTGTCTGTAGTTGAATTTATTATTGTCGCTGGATACAAAGTGAAAGTTTCCTTCTCCAAATCCTCAGTCCGCCATTCGCTACTGTTCAATTGTTTCCTTCCGCTCACAGCGATCTTAAAAAAAGTCTCAGTTCTTTAGGTTTACTTTCTACAATCTTTCTCTTAAATAATCCTTTTTCCTCTGTTAAGTCAAATTGTGTTATTTTAAGGTTATAATCCACCGTTTACTTATAATCCTCTTTGTCTGTCACTCGTTCCTTTCGCCTGTCAGATCTGCGTTGTCATTGTGTGTATTGAGCTTCGCTCCGATCACTGTCCTCGCCGCTTGCTTGACGATCTTGCCGCCGCTTTTTGGAGTCCTATTCTCGCCAATGTATTTAGGTCCTTATAATTATACCTTTATATCTCGATCTACTTAGTCTTTACCGATGTTCTCTTGTATCTTCGCTTCCACACTTACCGGTTGACAGCGCTCCGGCCAGCCAAGATGGCTGGTTTTTTTCCTGGCTGGAATTAGGAGGGTTTCTTCTGAACCTTCAGGGTGATTGCTGTCACCCCGAGGTCCTAGAGAGTCCTCCTTTTTCTGTCGACCTCTCCGTGGTCGATAGTGCCAAAAACGGCTTCCAATCAAGAAAATTGGAGCTTCGGGACGGAGCCTCGTTCCCCTTGCTCCTTACACGCTGACGTCACCGCCGGAAGTCTTTTCTAATCACTATTTCCTCTGATGGTATGTTAATCTGTTTCCACCATTGTGCAAGGGTAATCCTAGCTGCCGTTAATATGTGTAGTATTATATATTGCAATTTTTTCTTTATTTTTGGTTCTATTATTCCTAATAGGAACAGCTCCGGTTTAAATTCTATCTTTTGTAGTATAATTTCTTCCAACCATCTCTTAATTTTACACCAGAATTTTTTTACATAGGGGCACATCCACCACATGTGGTAATATGTTCCTAATTTATGGCCACAACTCCAACATTTGGGTGATAAATCTGGAAACATTTTGGCCAATCTCACTGGAGCCAAATGCCATCTATAAAACATTTTATAAAGATTTTCTTTGCATGCTACCACCATTGTAAATTTGTAATTTCTTTCCCATAATTTATCCCATTTTTCTAATTCTATATTGTGTCTGAAATTTCTAGCCCAACTACTCATCGTTTCTTTTACTGTTTCCTCTTCCATTCTCTATCTTAAAAGAAAATTGTACATTTTTGTAATCATTCCCCCCAGGAATATCAAAGCTGCCTGTTTTTCTGGGTGAGCCTCATAGTATTCTAATACATTCATAATGTTATTTTTTATGTGTCTGTTGGGCAGAAATCTATTTTGGTCTGATTGTACAATTTCGCTTAATATATTTTTAATTCTGTCTGCTATTATAGCCATAAATATCTTATAATCAGCATTTAACAGCGAGATTGGCCTATAATTTTGGATCTTCTGTTTTTCAGTATTGCTTTTGGAATGAGTGTTATTAAAGCCTCAGTCCAGGATTTTGGCATTTTAGCATGTTTTAATACTTCATTGTAGTAAATTTTCTAACAGTTTTTGAAATTCCTTATAGAATTCTGCTGGAAATCCATCCAGGCCTGGGGTTTTGTTATTTTTTTGTTTTTGGATTGCCCTCTTCAGTTCTAGCATTGTTATCCTGAGGACACCTTTTCCATTATTATATGGTGGTAGTAGTGGGATATTGAACAACATGGGGGTAACCAGAGAATCAAGAGGTGGTATTTTTTAAAATTCCTCTGACAATCAGCAGAGGTGACACACCAACCACAGACCTTTACCCCCCCCCCAGAAACTGACAACAATGGATAGGCCAAGGAGTGCTAGGGCAGTCACACAAATGAGAAGTAACTAAGATATCTATAAGATATAAGATATCAATAAGCCAGCTTTGTATAGAACAACACTGCTTGAGGGAGGGGGGGGCAAAGCCCTAATAAGCAGGTATATACATAAAAGTATGCAGGCTATTGCTATAATAGTGATTGTGGGTATTGCCTCCTAAAGACTATGTTGATTGTCCATCCTTGGTTCTGGGGGGAAAAATGTCCCCCTCAGAACGGGCTCGCAATTTGGGTGTCCTCCTAGACTCACAGCTGTGGCTAGGGGGACCTTTGCACAGGTTCGCCTGGTGCACCAATTGCGACTCTACTTGGATCAGGAGGCTCTCCTCACAGTCATTCATGCCCTTGTCACCTCACGGTTGGATTATTGCAACGCACTCTACATGGGGCTACCCTTGAAAAGTGTTCGGAGACTACAGTTGGTCCAGAACGCAGCCGCGCTCTGGACCAACACATTAGTCCAGAGCCGCCCTGTATTGTGAGCCACCCGGAGTCTTTGGAGAGGAACAGCATATAAATTAAATTAAATTAAATTAAATTAAATTAAATTAAATTAAATTAAATTAAATTAAATTAAATTAAATTAAATTAAATTAAATTAAATTAAATTAAATTAAATTAAATATTAAATTAAATTAAATTATTAAATTAAATTAAATTAAATTAAATTAAATTAAATTAAATTAAATTAAATTAAATTAAATTAAATTAAATTAAATTAAATTAAATTAAATTAAATTAAATTAAATTAAATTATTGTAAGCCGCTCTGAGTCTACAGAGAAGGCCGGCATATAAATTGGACTAATAAATAAATAAATAATAAATAAGATATCTCTACGCCAGCCCTCTCAGAAACTCACAGGCTATGAAAATGTCTGCTAAAGAAGATTCCTCATTAGAAGGCAGAAAGTCTGTTCAGCACCGCAGCCCAGAGAAGCTGAAACTGGAGGCAAAGAAACAGAAGAAGCCACGAAGAGGATGAATTTGACCTGGAGCTTAAATGAAGGGAGATTGATGAGGAAGAGCACATAAAGAGAGAGAGAGAGAATGAACACCAAACCCAAGTAGAACTGTTGAATTGGCGACACCTCATTGTCTACACTAACCCGTCTCCTCTCAATACAATCAGACTTTGGGGGAATTGATAACCATGAAGGAAATGAGGTTGAGACCCTCCTAACCAACTTTGGAGATACCTACCAAGCTGAAAGAAGTCCAAAGCCCAGGACATGTTTCATTTGTCTCCTCTCTTAAAGGGTTGCTTAAGCCAAATACTGGGTAACCTGAATTTTGAGGAAAAAGACTACCAACACTTAAAAAACCCACAAATATTAATTTATTTTATTGTTTGATGATTATCTTAGATTTTAATTTGATTAATGTAACTATTTTTATTTCTCTTCCATTCTAAATAACATCAATTGTCTAACAGAAGCAGATAAAGCATTTAAAGCAATAACAATTGAAATCAATAATTAAATGTTATAACCCTAAGAAACAATTTCATCATCAGGTCCCTACTTTTATCATTAGTTGTTCCTTAGTATTTAGATCTGGCCTCATGAGGATAACGTAGCACTTGGGGAAGAAGATGCAACCCAACAGTCCAGCACCAGAGGCTAAGATGGAGAAGATCTGCACAGCCACCATAGACTTTCCTTTGGTGCTCAGGTACGTGGGCAGGAAGGAGACCCAGACACTGCAGAAAACCAGCATACTGAAGGTGATCAGCTTGGCTTCATTGAAGGCCCCAGGCAGGTTCCTGGCCAAGAAAGCCACTGTGAAACAAATGGCAGCTAGGAAACCCATGTAGATAAGAACAACATAAAACATGGCGACAGAGCCTTCGTTGCATTGAAGGATGATCACTCCAGGCTCTGAGTACAGATCAGAGTCAGGGAATGGGGGAGATGTTCCCAGCCACATGGCACAGATGAAAATTTGGATACCAGAACAAGAAAAGATAATGGTGTAAGTCAAGCTCTTCCCCAACCATCTTCCCATCCTGTTCCCTGGTTTTGTGGCCAGGAAGGCCAGCACCACAATGAGAGTTTTGGCCAACACAGAAGACACGGCTACTGAGAAGATGATGCTGAACATTGTTTGTCGGAGAAGGCAGGTGGCTTTCCTTGGTCTGCCAATGAAGAGAAAGGAGGACAAAAAACAAAGGAGGAGGGAGACCAGGAGGATGAAGGAGAGGTCCCGGTTGTTGGCTTTGACAATGGAGTTTCTAGGTATTGAAGGAATATGATTAAAATGAATCCTGTAGTTAGGAACAGGAGGAGAGCAAAGGAAATGAGGATGATGCTGAGAAGTTCATTATAGGACAGGAAGGTTATTCTTTTGGGCATACATTGGAGTCTCTTCTTGTTTGGATATTGATCATCTGGGCATTTGGTGCATTTTTCAGTATCTGAGAAAAAAAACAAAGATTTCATTTATATCTTTCTACATATGTCTGGCTGCCCATCTTAAAACCCATCTTTGGGCAACTTTAATGTAAAAAAAGAAATCTAATATATACATATATTACTAATTTTCATCACTAATAATGAAAACAAGACAACATTAAAACCCAGAAGAAATACCTAGCACCCCAACCACCCTCACTAATGCAACCCACCACATTCTCATCCTACACTGATGTTGCCTTATCCCAATTCCTGGGAGAAGAGCCAAATATCCAGAAGGTTAGGAGGGTGGACTCCTGCCGGATTTCAAGGGGGAAAGTGTTCCATAAGGCAGGACTTGCAACTCAAATGTCTGGCTTTGGAAGACCCTCAAAATAGTCTAAGAAGTAATCACGCAAACACAAACACCACCTTCCTTCCTTTTCTGTAAAATACTAAGAAAAAGCCTCAGAAAAGACCAAAAGGTCAAGCTGCTAAAAGTAAAAGAACATCATCTCAGTTTTTCTTCTTCGCTAAGCCTTCGGATAATAGCCCCCAGGCAAACAGCATGCTTCAGCTTCAAGAAAAGAGGTTACTGTATTTTTTGGACTATAAGACTCTCGGAAATATAAGACTCATCTAGCTTTTGGGGAGGAAAAGAAGAAAAAAAAATACCTCAAGTTACAAAGAATTCAGATGTTCCTAAGGAAGATAAATATGGACGGACAAATTCCAATTGGCAAATAAAAGAGAGATTTTCTACCCAATCCACAACATCCTTATTCCTACCTCATCCTTCAAGATCTTTTTCTTATTCTTGCCATTATGGAAGAAATTGGACACCATGAAAATTAAGAACAAATGAACCAAATTGATATGTGTTTTGATATGCATATTGATCAAAGTGCTCTGGATGAATTCAGAAGGTTCCTTATGGTGTCACCTACCTTCCTGAGTTGAGATGGTCCCCTCTGGACAAGGAAGGCAGTCGTAGCAGCAAAATGGCTCTCCTTCCCGAGGCTTCTTCACAAATCCTGGATGACATTTTTCCACACATTTAGACTGAGGCAGAGACTGAGAAGAAAATGAAGAAATGCCAATGCAAATATGTTAGAACTAACTGTGGATGTAAAATGGAGGTGGACATGAACATTAGCAAAATAGTCTCTTATTTATTTATTTATTATTTATTTATTTATTTATTATTTATTTATTTATTTATTTATTTATTTGTCAAGCATGTATAAGATAACAGATATAAGTAGATTATGATTATGAACACAGGATATGGATACGAATAAATGGGGACAGTAGGACAGGGACGGTAAGTACGTTGGTGCGCTTATGCACGTCTCTTGGCTACAAGTAGGCAAATATGACTATTTGCCTATGAATACTTCCAAATGGCTTCAAGAGATACAATTGCACTTGTACCTCGTTTAGTTCCTCCCTTTTTCTTCTGGCATATCTGATTGCAAAAAAAAAAAAGTATCTTTCTACTTAATAAAGTCTGGAGGGATGCAATTGAAAAAAAAAGATTTAAGCATTAAGTTACAACCTTGTAGTGAAATAAACATGTATTCCTCCATTCCTCAGATTTGCATGATTTTAAAATAAGATATCCACTCATACTAAATTTTAGATTATACTTTATTGTCAAATATTTATTATTTTTTTTATTCCAATAGTTCTAATCTAAAAAAATCCAATGGTTTTATTCTAAAAAAAACCCGTGATAAAGAAAGAAACGTCTGATGAGTAGGGTCTGTAAAAGTTCCCTTCAGGAGTACGTAAAACATTGCAAAGCGGTTTCCTTTTGAAAGTAGACCAAAACTATCTCCCAGTTAAGATAGAAAGGAAAATTTCTTTACAAATAAGGGCTTATTAACCTTAAAGGAGATTTCTTTATTTTTATATTTCCCTGTTCTACTTACTGTATAGTAGCATCGTTCAGCAATGCTGCTGAACTACAACTAAAACTGGCTGACTACTTTCTAAAACTATAGTGAGGTGAGATGGGGGTGAGGTCACCAGAATGTCCCCCCCTCCAAAAAAAAGGAGTGAGTCAGGCACTTTTTGATGCAGCAGCACGTGGACGTGAATGTGAGCCCTGTGTGGGAAAGGGATATTCAACACAAGGTATCCAAAAGAAGGTATTATATGTTAAAAGACTACATTTAAATGACACAAATCACAGGGAAATGCATGCCCATATTTATTATTAGTTTGATTTGAAGCCTCCTTGTCTTAAGGTAGCTAACAATCAAGATCAACAATTACATTCAAGGGATTTTCAGATGAAGTGCACTCTTATTTCTAGGCTCGACCATATCTCACGACCTAAAATGGACACCCAACATCAAAAACGTCATCAAAAAAGCACAACACAGAATGTTCTTTCTGCACAAACTCAGGAAGCTCAAACTGCCCAAGGAGCTGCTGATCCAGTTCTACAGAGAATTATTGGGTCCGTCATCTGCACCTCTAGAACTGTCTGGTTTGGTTCTGCAACCCAACAAGACAGACACAGACTTCAGAGGATAATTAGAACTGCAGAAAAAACAATAGCTACCAACCTGCCTTCCATTGAGGGCTTCCATATTGCACGAGTCAAAAAAAGGGCTGTGAAAATATTTACAGTCCCCTCATATCCTGGACATAAATTGTTTCAACTCCCACCCTCAAAACGACGCTATAGAACACTGCACACCAGAACAACTAGACACAAGAACATTTCTTTCCCGAGCACCATCACTCTGCTAAACAAATAATTCCCTCAACACTGTCAAACTATTTACTAAGTCTGCACTACTATTAATCTTCTCATCATTCCCATCACCCATCTCCTCTCACTTACGACTGTATGTTTCTAACTTTGTTGCTTATATCCTTATGATTTATATTGATTGTTTCCTGATTGCTTATTTGTACCCTATGACTATCATTAAGTGTTGTACCTTATGATTCTTGATAGACATAGCTTTTCTTTTATGTACACTGAGAGCATATGCACCAAGACAAATTCCTTGTGTGTCCAATCACACTTGGCCAATAAAAAATTCTATTCTATTTTATCTATTAAAAGCCAATTTCAAAACCTAAGTAATACTTCCCTTGAAATTGTCCCTTATTACTTCTGATGTCAGGAATTGCTTTTCTTTGCACCGAAATCATGCTTCACTATTTCAGTTTTCAAGCCATTATCAGGGTGAGATGGGCAGAAAATAAATTTAATAAATAAATAAATAAGCTCACATCAGACTAGTCCTTATGATTTCATGTGAACTGAGAATCTTGGACTTCCTTCTTAAATTCCACTGTCCCAGTGGAGTTAAAGAGAGGCATGTGTAACTATGACCAGGTCTTGGCTGATTAAACCATTGCAGGCTATGGACCGGTAATTTTAGGAGATCCTGACTCCAACCAGGACAAGATGAAGCTTATTTTGCCAAGTGGACCACCAGGATCTCCATCCAATCTTGATCCCATTTCATCAGATTCAGTCCAAACCTGAAGTCAGACCCTGGTCAACAGAATTGCCTTCATCTTTGATATTTGAAGATAAGGAACAAATGAACTTGAAGGTATTATCACAAAATTCCTCAGCACGTGAGGTCCTCTCTCGCCAGTTTTATAGTGATAAATTGCAGAAGACACATTAAATAACAATGATTTGTGTCCTAAATAATAATCACCCTAAATCTCATTTTGGATATAGTTGAATCAGCTTAAAACAGTATTCAGCATTATAGCATCTGAAGGATAACATGGTCAATAGATCATGTCTAAGAAAATTATAGATATTTTACTCCACACATTCAATTCTCTATAAAGGTAACACACCTTTTTTGACTAGATTTAGCCCACTTGAAAAGGGTCCGGATTCTTTGGAAAAATGAAGAAAAGACATCAATATTTTCCTCACCTTGTTGAGCAACCTTAGCTGTGACAAAGCATCTTGGTTGATCATAAGTCTCTGTCCTTCAAAATTCCCCAATTCCTTGTTGATGGGATCCTCCTTGGGGAGAAACACTCTACTCAAGATCCCCAAATCTCTGCTACGTCTCCCATTTTGATCCAAGTACATTTCAAACAGGGAAAGTTGTACAATTCCTTCTTCTTTAGAAATTGATAGAACTAGAATGGAAACATTGAGGGATTTTAAAGTTAGAAATCTTGTTTTCTTATCTCACACAAGTCTTTTTACATTGAATCTTTCTTCTATAGTTGTTTAATGTACAAATATGTGAGTTGGGAGAACAATGTTTGCCACTATCTTCAAAACTCAAGAACAAAGGTCAGTAATAGTTCTCAACAGTATATTTGACAAAAAATATAGTGAGAAGATACGATTGTCAGAAATTGTCAACTAAAGGGAACTTTTTCTAAAAAGTTCCCTTTAGTTGACAATTTCTGACATCGTATCTTCTCACTATAATTTTTGTCAATATACTGTTGAGAACTATTACTGAACCTTTGTTCTTGAGTTTTGAAGATAGTGGCAACACTTGTTCTCCCAACTCAACAATATTTGTACATTAAACAACTATAGAAAAAGATTCAAATGTAAAAAGACTGTGTGAGATAAGAAAACAAGATTTCTAACTTTAAAATCCCTCAATGTTTCCATTCTAGTTCTATCAATTTCTAAAGAAGAAGGAATTGTACAACCTTTCCCTGTTTGAAATGTACTTGGATCAAAATGGAGACGTAGCAGCAGATTTGGGGATCTTGAGTAGAGTGTTTTCTCCCAAGGAGGATCCCATCAACAAGGAATTGGGGAATTTTGAAGGACAGAGACTTATGATCAACCAAGATGCTTTGTCACAGCTAAGGTTGCTCAACAAGGTGAGGAAAATATTGATGTCTTTTCTTCATTTTTCCAAAGAATCCGGACCCTTTTCAAGTGGGCTAAATCTAGTCAAAAAAGGTGTGTTACCTTTATAGAGAATTGAATGTGTGGAGTAAAATATCTATAATTTTTCTTAGACATGATCTATTGACCATGTTATCCTTCAGATGCTATAATGCTGAATACTGTTTTAAGCTGATTCAACTATATCCAAAATGAGATTTAGGGTGATTATTATTTAGGACACAAATCATTGTTATTTAATGTGTCTTCTGCAATTTATCACTATAAAACTGGCGAGAGAGACCTCACGTGCTGAGGAATTTTGTGATAATACCTTCAAGTTCATTTGTTCCTTATCTTCAAATATCAAAGATGAAGGCAATTCTGTTGACCAGGGTCTGACTTCAGGTTTGGACTGAATCTGATGAAATGGGATCAAGATTGGATGGAGATCCTGGTGGTCCACTTGGCAAAATAAGCTTCATCTTGTCCTGGTTGGAGTCAGGATCTCCTAAAATTACCGTCCATAGCCTGCAATGGTTTTAATCAGCCAAGACCTGGTCATAGTTACACATGCCTCTCTTTAACTCCACTGGGACAGTGGAATTTAAGAAGGAAGTCCAAGATTCTCAGTTCACATGAAATCATAAGGACTAGTCTGATGTGAGCTTATTTATTTATTTATTAAATTTATTTTCTGCCCATCTCACCCTGATAATGGCTTGAAAACTGAAATAGTGAAGCATGATTTCGGTGCAAAGAAAAGCAATTCCTGACATCAGAAGTAATAAGGGACAATTTCAAGGGAAGTATTACTTAGGTTTTGAAATTGGCTTTTAATAGATAAAATAGAATAGAATTTTTTATTGGCCAAGTGTGATTGGACACACAAGGAATTTGTCTTGGTGCATATGCTCTCAGTGTACATAAAAGAAAAGCTATGTCTATCAAGAATCATAAGGTACAACACTTAATGATAGTCATAGGGTACAAATAAGCAATCAGGAAACAATCAATATAAATCATAAGGATATAAGCAACAAAGTTAGAAACATACAGTCGTAAGTGAGAGGAGATGGGTGATGGGAATGATGAGAAGATTAATAGTAGTGCAGACTTAGTAAATAGTTTGACAGTGTTGAGGGAATTATTTGTTTAGCAGAGTGATGGTGCTCGGGAAAGAAATGTTCTTGTGTCTAGTTGTTCTGGTGTGCAGTGTTCTATAGCGTCGTTTTGAGGGTGGGAGTTGAAACAATTTATGTCCAGGATATGAGGGACTGTAAATATTTTCACAGCCCTTTTTTTGACTCGTGCAATATGGAAGCCCTCAATGGAAGGCAGGTTGGTAGCTATTGTTTTTTCTGCAGTTCTAATTATCCTCTGAAGTCTGTGTCTGTCTTGTTGGGTTGCAGAACCAAACCAGACAGTTCTAGAGGTGCAGATGACGGACCCAATAATTCCTCTGTAGAACTGGATCAGCAGCTCCTTGGGCAGTTTGAGCTTCCTGAGTTTGTGCAGAAAGAACATTCTGTGTTGTGCTTTTTTGATGACGTTTTTGATGTTGGGTGTCCATTTTAGGTCGTGAGATATGGTCGAGCCTAGAAATAAGAGTGCACTTCATCTGAAAATCCCTTGAATGTAATTGTTGATCTTGATTGTTAGCTACCTTAAGACAAGGAGGCTTCAAATCAAACTAATAATAAATATGGGCATGCATTTCCCTGTGATTTGTGTCATTTAAATGTAGTCTTTTAACATATAATACCTTCTTTTGGATACCTTGTGTTGAATATCCCTTTCCCACACAGGGCTCACATTCACGTCCCACGTGCTGCTGCATCAAAAAGTGCCTGACTCACTCCTTTTTTTTGGAGGGGGGGACATTCTGGTGACCTCACCCCCATCTCACCTCACTATAGTTTTAGAAAGTAGTCAGCCAGTTTTAGTTGTAGTTCAGCAGCATTGCTGAACGATGCTACTATACAGTAAGTAGAACAGGGAAATAAAAAATAAAGAAATCTCCTTTAAGGTTAATAAGCCCTTATTTGTAAAGAAATTTTCCTTTCTATCTTAACTGGGAGATAGTTTTGGTCTACTTTCAAAAGGAAACCGCTTTGCAATGTTTTACGTACTCCTGAAGGAACTTTTACAGACCCTACTCATCAGACGTTTCTTTCTTTATCACGGGTTTTTTTTTAGAATAAAACCATTGGATTTTTTTAGAACTATTGGAATAAAAAAAATAATAAATATTTGACAATAAAGTATAATCTAAAATTTAGTATGAGTGGATATCTTATTTTAAAATCATGCAAATCTGAGGAATGGAGGAATACATGTTTATTTCACTACAAGGTTGTAACTTAATGCTTAAATCTTTTTTTTCAATTGCATCCCTCCAGACTTTATTAAGTAGAAAGATACTTTTTTTTTTTGCAATCAGATATGCCAGAAGAAAAAGGGAGGAACTAAACGAGGTACAAGTGCAATTGTATCTCTTGAAGCCATTTGGAAGTATTCATAGGCAAATAGTCATATTTGCCTACTTGTAGCCAAGAGACGTGCATAAGCGCACCAACGTACTTACCGTCCCTGTCCTACTGTCCCCATTTATTCGTATCCATATCCTGTGTTCATAATCATAATCTACTTATATCTGTTATCTTATACATGCTTGACAAATAAATAAATAAATAAATAAATAAATAAATAAATAAATAAATAAATAAATAAATAAATAAATAAGAGACTATTTTGCTAATGTTCATGTCCACCTCCATTTTACATCCACAGTTAGTTCTAACATATTTGCATTGGCATTTCTTCATTTTCTTCTCAGTCTCTGCCTCAGTCTAAATGTGTGGAAAAATGTCATCCAGGATTTGTGAAGAAGCCTCGGGAAGGAGAGCCATTTTGCTGCTACGACTGCCTTCCTTGTCCAGAGGGGACCATCTCAACTCAGGAAGGTAGGTGACACCATAAGGAAACCTTCTGAATTCATCCAGAGCACTTTGATCAATATGCATATCAAAACACATATCAATTTGGTTCATTTGTTCTTAATTTTCATGGTGTCCAATTTCTTCCATAATGGCAAGAATAAGAAAAAGATCTTGAAGGATGAGGTAGGAATAAGGATGTTGTGGATTGGGTAGAAAATCTCTCTTTTATTTGCCAATTGGAATTTGTCCGTCCATATTTATCTTCCTTAGGAACATCTGAATTCTTTGTAACTTGAGGTATTTTTTTTTTCTTCTTTCCTCCCCAAAAGCTAGATGAGTCTTATATTTCCGAGAGTCTTATAGTCCAAAAAATACAGTAACCTCTTTTCTTGAAGCTGAAGCATGCTGTTTGCCTGGGGCTATTATCCGAAGGCTTAGCGAAGAAGAAAAACTGAGATGATGTTCTTTTACTTTTAGCAGCTTGACCTTTTGGTCTTTTCTGAGGCTTTTTCTTAGTATTTTACAGAAAAGGAAGGAAGGTGGTGTTTGTGTTTGCGTGATTACTTCTTAGACTATTTTGAGGGTCTTCCAAAGCCAGACATTTGAGTTGCAAGTCCTGCCTTATGGAACACTTTCCCCCTTGAAATCCGGCAGGAGTCCACCCTCCTAACCTTCTGGATATTTGGCTCTTCTCCCAGGAATTGGGATAAGGCAACATCAGTGTAGGATGAGAATGTGGTGGGTTGCATTAGTGAGGGTGGTTGGGGTGCTAGGTATTTCTTCTGGGTTTTAATGTTGTTCTTGTTTTCATTATTAGTGATGAAAATTAGTAATATATGTATATATTAGATTTCTTTTTTTACATTAAAGTTGCCCAAAGATGGGTTTTAAGATGGGCAGCCAGACATATGTAGAAAGATATAAATGAAATCTTTGTTTTTTTTCTCAGATACTGAAAAATGCACCAAATGCCCAGATGATCAATATCCAAACAAGAAGAGACTCCAATGTATGCCCAAAAGAATAACCTTCCTGTCCTATAATGAACTTCTCAGCATCATCCTCATTTCCTTTGCTCTCCTCCTGTTCCTAACTACAGGATTCATTTTAATCATATTCCTTCAATACCTAGAAACTCCCATTGTCAAAGCCAACAACCGGGACCTCTCCTTCATCCTCCTGGTCTCCCTCCTCCTTTGTTTTTTGTCCTCCTTTCTCTTCATTGGCAGACCAAGGAAAGCCACCTGCCTTCTCCGACAAACAATGTTCAGCATCATCTTCTCAGTAGCCGTGTCTTCTGTGTTGGCCAAAACTCTCATTGTGGTGCTGGCCTTCCTGGCCACAAAACCAGGGAACAGGATGGGAAGATGGTTGGGGAAGAGCTTGACTTACACCATTATCTTTTCTTGTTCTGGTATCCAAATTTTCATCTGTGCCATGTGGCTGGGAACATTTTCTTTTCTTTTCTTTCTTTTCTTTCTGTTCTTTCTGTTCTTTTCTTTCTGGGATTAAAAAAAAACCTAACCTCTTCTGAAACAAACCATAAAATAAAAGCAAATGGAAACCTAAGTGGCTGGTCTCTGTATGGAAGCTGAAGGGTCTCTCTGGACTATGAACCCTGGACTGGCCCTCTTTCCACCTTGGACTCGGACGTACAATGACGTACAAGAAAGCCGACCTGCTAGCATTGCGAGACTCCCCCCTCTCGCAAGTTTGGCCCTCCACTTTATCGAGGGCCCACCTCGATGACGGGCTTTGGAACCCCGAGAGGTGGCATGCAAAAACTAGAGGGTTGAGGGGTTTTATATCAAAAAAATTTGTAAATTTTTTAAAGGATTCTAGGGAGGGGGAGGGTTTGATTGGAATGCGGGTTGTGGGTATGGGGGATAGCCCACAAAGGGGAGGGGCAGGCCTGGCAAGGAAGCACGGCGTGGGAGGTGGGGATCTCGGGGTCAAGGGGGGGAGTCATAGTTTGTCCAGATAGTGTTCTGAACATCATTACCATGAGTGGGAGGGGTAGGTATGGCGGGAGCAGGGGGCCATATCGAGTCAAGGGAGCATGTACCCGCTGTTTACAAGCGGTGACATGCTCCGGCCCCCAAGGCTCCACCCGTTCCCCAGGTTGCACAGACCCTCAGGACCCTACCCTCCGGCTGATGCTGTGCAATGCCAGGTCCGTAATAAATAAAGCCCCCCTCATTTGTGAACTTATTTGTGAGGGGGGAGCGGACCTGGCGGGTATTACGGAGATCTGGTTGGGCCAGGAGGGGGGATCCCCCTTGTCGAGATGTGCCCACCAGGTTTCCTCGCATTCCATCGGCCGAGGTTACAGGGCAGGGGCGGGGGAGTAGCGGTTATTATTAAAGAAGGTCTGAGACCGAGGGAGGCCACTGTTCCTCAGACGGCCGGCTGTGAGTCCCTCCTCGTGAAGTGGGGTCGTGGGGTTCAGATGGGTTTGCTGATCACGTACCTGGCTCCCTGCCACGTGGTAACAGCCCTGCCCGAGCTACTCAACGTCATCGCCGCGGTGGCGGTTGATACCCCCAGGCTTATGGTCATGGGGGATTTCAACCTGCCGTCCATGGGTGAGACATCTGAGGTGGCTCGGGAGTTCATGGCTTCCATGACAGCGATGGACCTGACCCAGTTAATTCATGGCCCTACCCACACGGGGGGAAACACGCTGGATCTGGTTTTTGTCTCTGGACAGTGGCCGAGTGATCTTGAGATAGGGGATATAGTTACCGAGCCCTTGTCATGGTCAGATCACTCTCTCCTTCATCTCAACCTTCGAACCGCTGCACCCCGCCGCAGGGAGGCGGAGCCGGTAAGATGGTTCCGCCCCAGGCGCCTGATGGAACCTGATAGGTTCCAGATGGAGCTTGGGCCATTTCCCGAGGCTCTGGCACACGCCACGACTGGAGACCTAGTGGCCGCCTGGGATAGGGCGGCCGCTGGAGCTCTGGATCAGGTCGTGCCTTTGCGGCCTCTGACCCGACGCCAATCTCATTTGGCTCCTTGGTTCACTGAGGAGCTGAGGGAGTTGAAGCGCCGGAAAAGACGCCTAGAGTTTAGTTGGAGGGCCAGTCTTTCTGAATCGGACCGGACACTGGTAAGATCCCATATTAGGAATTACCTAGTGGCAATAAAAGCAGCGAAATGTAGTTATTTTGCTGCTCTTATTGCGTCATCAGATAACTGCCCGGCCACCCTGTTTAGGGTGACCTGCTCCCTGCTCCACCAGGAAGCGCGGGAGGACCCCTTGGAGGGTAGAGCCGAGGATTTTGTTCAGTATCTGTATGACAAAATCACTCAGATTCGGGAAGATCTGGACTCCGACTGGGTAGTCTCAGGGGGAGGGACTGGGGCAGGTCTTGAGAACGTTATCTGGGATGAGTTTGATCCTGTGACCCCTGAGGACGTGGACAGGATTCTGGGCAGACTGAATGCGACCACTTGTTTATTGGACCCGTGTCCTTCCTGGTTAGGGCTGCCTTCCCGGGAGGTGACGCAAGGCTGGCTCCAGGGGATTATAAATGCTTCATTGGGTGAGGGTGACTTCCCCGCCGCCTTGAAAGAGGCGGTGGTGAGGTCTCTCCTCAAGAAGCCTTCCCTGGACCTGGCAATGTTGGTTAACTATCGTCCGGTCTCCAACCTTCGTTTTGTGGTGAAGGTTGTCGAGAGTGTCGTCGCACGGCCCCTTCCCCACCACGAAGATGAGATGATGCATCTGGATCCATTCCAGTCGAGTTTCAGACCTGGGTAAAGCATGGAAACGGCATGGGTCGCGTTGGTTGATGATCTCTGGAGGGCTCGGGACAGGGGGTGCTCCTCTGTCCTGGTTGTCAGCCTCAGCTTTGCCTGCTTCAGCTGCCATAAGAAACGGGGGAGGGATTAGCTATGGGGGCGAAGGGTGGGAAGATGCAGGAGGTGTTTTTTTTCCATTGTAGGGCGTGTCTTCCCAAGAAATGAAAGTGAATCTTCAAAGGGGACGGCTGACCAACTGCCCTACATTCCTGATGAATGATGCTGCCAGACGTGATGCCACCTGACATTTGGGAGACCTTTGGATTGGCTGATGGTCAATGGACACGGGCGGGGGGGAGAAGCTTAGTAGATGCTGTTTCACGCATTTTGCTCACTTCCAGCTTTACCTGGGTTGCTATCATTTCATATTCAGTAAAAGTACTAATCTCTTCAAAATGATTGAGTTTGGGTTTTCCTTTCCTGGATATTGAAGGAAGCATACCTGACACTGGTCCTGTTAGATCTCTCAGCGGCTTTTGATACCATTGACCATGGTATCATGCTGCACCGGTTGGAAGAGTTAGGGGTGGGAGGCACTGTACTATGGTGGTTCTCCTCCTTTCTCTCCGGCCGGTTGCAGTCTGTGTTGGCAGGGGGGCAGAGGTTGACCCCAAGGCCCCTCATATGTGGGGTGCCACAAGGGTCGGTCCTCTTGCCCCTTTTGTTCAACTTTATGTAAAGCCGCTGGGTGAGATCATCCGTGGTTTCGGGGTGAAGTACCACCAGTATGCTGATGACACCCAGCTGTACATCTCCACCCCGGACCACCCCAACGATGCCCTTGAAGTGATGTCTCGGTGTCTGGAGGCCATGCGGATCTGGATGGGGAGGAACAGGCTCAGGCTCAACCCATCCAAGACCGAGTGGCTGTGGTTTCCGACGTCCTGATATAGTCAGTTGACGCCATCGCTGACTATTGGGGGCGAATCGCTGGCCCCCACGGAGAGGGCTCGCAACTTGGGCGTCCTCCTGGACTCACGGCTGTCTTTAGAAGAGCACTTGACGGCCGTGACTGGGAGGATTTTTCATCAGGTTCGCCTGATTTGCTAGTTGCATCCCTTTCTGGATCAGGACTCCCTACACACAGTCACTCATGCCCTCGTTACCTCCCGCCTGGACGATTGTAACGCTCTCTACATGGGGCTCCCCTTGAGGAGCACCCGGAGGCTCCAACTGGCGCAGAGTGCGGCTGTGCGGGTGGCTATGGGAGCAACATGGCGCTCCCGTGTGACACCTCTCCTGCGCGAGCTGCACTGGCTCCCGGTGGACTTCCGGGTGCGCTTCAAGGTTGTGGTTACCACCTTTCGAGCGCTCCATGGCTTAGGACCTGGTTATTTACGGGACCGCCTGCTACCACAAACAGCCTCCCACCGGCCGGTACGCTCTCATAGAGAGGGGCTCCTCCAGGTGCCGTCAGCCAAACAATGTTGACTGGCGGCCCCTAGGGGGAGGGCCTTCTCTGTGGGGGCACCTACTATCTGGAACGAGCTCCCCCCGGAGATACGGAGGATCCTGGATCTGCACACTTTCCACCGTGCTTTGAAGACACTCCTATTCCAGCAGGCCGGCCTGGCCTAATTTTTTCCTCTTCTTCTAAATTTTTAAACTCAAATTTTAATTCGCTTTAAATTATTGGGGGTTTTAAATTGTCTCAGGCAAAAATTATTTAATTGGGTTTTAATCATGTCTTAACTTTTGTATTTATGTGTTTTATTTCGTGCCTGTTCACTGCCCTGAGTCCTTTGGGAGTAGGACAGTATACAAATTTAATAAAATGAAAATGAAATGAAAAATGAAGCTAAGCAGGACTTCCGGAGGTGACGTCAGCGTGTAAGGAACGAGGGGAACGAGGCTCCGTCCCCGAAGTTCCAAATTTCTTGATTGGAAGCCGTTTTTGGCACTATCGACCACGGAGAGGTCGATAGAAAAAAGGAGGATTCTCTAGGACCTCGGTGTGACAGCAATCACCCCGAAGGTTCAGAGGAAACCCTCCTAATTCCAGCCGGGAAAAAACCAGCCATTTTGGCTGGCCGGAGCGCTGTCAACTGATAAGTGTGGAAGCGAAGATTCAAGAGAAACATCGGTAAGGACTAAGTAGATCGAAATATAAAGGTATAATCATGAGGACCTAAATACATTGGCGAGAATAGGACTCCAAAAAGCGGCGGCAAGATCGTCAGCAAGCGGCGAGAGACAGTGATCGGAGCGAAGCTCAATACACACAGTGACAATGCAGATTTGACTGGCGAAAGGAGCGAGTGACAGGCAAAGAGGATTATAAGTAAGCGGTGGATTATAACTTTAAAATAATACAATTTGACTTAACAGAGGGAAAAAAGGATTATTTAAGAGAAGGATTGTAGAAAGTGAACTTAAAGAACTGAGACTATTTAAGATCGTTGTGAGCGGAAGGAAACTAACTGAACAGTAGCGAATGGCGGACTGAGGATTTGGAGAAGAAAACTTTCACTTTGTGTCCAGCGACAATAATAAATTCATCTATAGACACGAGACTCGTAGTGAGACATTAGATACATTGACGCTGTCGGCAAAGGAGATACAACTTGCTACACAGGAAAATTGGAACAATTGATTTACTTACGGATTTAATAGAGGTCATTGAAATAGAACTGTGACAGCTGGGTGAAAAGAAGGCGAACTGAAGAACGAAGGAAGAAGGAAAGGAGAAGGAAGCAACCCCAATTGGTCTGAGAGTGATATAGTTGAGAACTTTAAATATTAAATTACTAAATTTCATCTACTTTATAAAATCCAGTTTAAAACTTACTTAATTTTGCTTAAAGAATACTAATATCAAATTTGAAGTTATTATAATATATATTAAGGAATTGATTTAATATTATTTTTTTTTCTTTTATTGTTTCCCACCCTATTGAAACAACTATATAGATTGCATAATAATATATTGATTAAGTGGAATTATATTGCGTATTGACTAGAAAGCTAGATATTAATATAGACATTGCATAGAGACTGTTGTAGACATCATTAAGGAATAATAATTGTGATAATTAATATAGGTAGCATGTACTGGTAACTGTGATATAACTTAATAGAATACTTCAGATGATTTATAGAGAATTTTAAATCCCATTGATTTATTATATAAAGGTTATATAGAAATTGTTTAATTTTAAAGTGAATTTAAGTACTGTGATAACTTGGTATTTAAACATTAATTGCATTATATTGTTTAGGGATAAGAATAAAAGAATGAATTGTTAAAATACTGTATTTTCCCCCTAACTCCTCCGAATTAATTAACCTGATCCTTATATAACGACATTTCATCCACCCCCCAACCAATTAGTATATGAAAATTTGGGGAAAAATAACACAAAAGACAACGATGGCAACATCCTCATTAACAATAACTAAATCAGGGAAAAAATTAACAACAAACCCAATACCTACACAATCTTCACCTGCACAACAAAAAACCATAGATACGATGCTAACCACAGACAAAGAAAAAGCTGCCACTGCACACAACATACAGAACATACAGTCCATATTAGCTATGATTCAGGAGGGGATGAACAAAACCCAAGAAACAATTGCGAATAATCATGAAGAAACAAAAAAGAACCATGAGGAATTGAAATTAGAAGTAGGACAAATAAATGATAATATTAAAAAAATGGACGATAAGATCAAGAGAATACAACAAAACATAGTTAAAAACGAAGAATGAATTCAAAACATGGAAGCTAAAATGGTCCTAACGGAGAAAAAGATGGACAATATCGAACAAAATCAAATGGAGTTAAATAGAGAACTCGAAGAGTCAATTACCCATTTAGAATTAGAAAAAGCATCATTCTTTTTACGATTTCAAAATATTACAGAAACAAAAGGAGAAGATCTAAGAGACCTGATGACAGATATATTAGTAGAGGCTACCCAGAAGGAAAAAAGCGATATTAGTAGGGAAATTGACGAAATATATAGAGTTCATACAAACTATGCTCATAGGAACAAACTACCTAAAGAAATACATGTCAGATTCGCACGTAAAACTGTAAAAGAAGAGATTTACACGTCCATGAGAGAGGGAAAACCCTGCTACCAAGGGAAAGAAATAATAACCCTAAAACAAGTTCCAAGAAGAATAAGAGGGTACAGAAAAAACTATAATTTCTTGACAACCCTACTGAACCAACACAAAATAATGTTCCGCTGGCTGGTGCCGGAGGGAATCCTAATATCTTGGGATGACAAAAAATATAAAATCGATACGATAGAGAAGGCACAAGAATTTTTTGACACTCACTTTATAATAGAAGAGGAACAGGAAACTAGACATGATTCAGAAAATGCAAATCAGGAACATTCCATGGGGGAAACAAAAAAAGAAAAGGAAGAGAAGGAGTCTAGGGAAAGGGAGAAGATGGAGAGAGAAGGGGCTAGGGGGAAAACACAAATGGTAACAAGAAACACAAGTAGACTTAGACTAACAAAGAAAAACTAAAGGAAATGGGACGAGAGTTGAAATTAATTTCAATCAATATAAAGATGGCCTTACTCTTCCTTGACGCACAGAAGGTGTTCGACAACCTTAATTGGGGATTCTTAATACTGCAATTAGAAAAAATGGGAACCGGCGATAAATTTTTAAATATGATTAAAACAATATACTCAGACCAAATTGCAAAAATATGGATAAACGGAGAGACAACAGACCAATTCAAAATATCCAAGGGAGTGAGACAAGGTTGTCCTCTCTCTCCTATATTATATATATTAGCATTGGAACCACTGTTGAATGAAATTAGGAACGACAATGAAATAAAAGGATTAAGAACAAAAAACCAGGAGTATAAGTTACAAGCATTCACGGACGACGTAGTATTCATTTTAGAATGACCAAAACAATCAGGACTGAATTTACTAAGGAAGATAGATCAATATGGCGAAGTGGCAGGATTGAAAATCAATAGACAAAAAACAAAACTACTAACCAAAAATTTGACAAAAACCCAGGAGAAAGAATTAGAAGAGACATTAGGAATACAAACAACAACAAAAATAAGATATTTAGGAATCTGGCTCACCAATAAGGTATCATCCCTCAAAGAAGACAATTATATTAAATTGGCTAAACAAATCCAGAAGGACTTAGAGGCATGGAGTAAATTGAAATTATCACTACTAGGCAAAATTGCTTCAATTAAAATGACAATTCTACCAAAAATATTATATCTATTTAGAACAATACCGATAAACCCAGGAAAATCATATTTCAAAGATCTCGATAAAATGACATTAAAGTATATATGGCAAGGAAAAAGAGCTAGGATTAAACTGAAACACCTGCAAGACACCAAAGAAAGGGGTGGCCTGGGACTACCAGATTGGCAAACTTATTACACTGCAACAGCTTTAACCTGGATTAAGGATTGGATGACACTCAAAGATAAACGAACACTAGCACTAGAAGGATTTGATTTGTCAAAAGGCTGGCACGCATTTTTATGGGAGGAAAAGCCCAGACAACATGAACACTTCAGGAGACATTATATCAGAGGAGCATTGTCAAAAATTTGGACTGAAATAAGGAGAAAACACTACGACAAAATCCCAAGATGGCTATCAACCATGGAGGCCCAAATCTACCCAAACACAATGGATACAGACAAGATGAAAACCTATGACGAATTGTTGAACATAGAGGGAGATATGAAAACAAGAGAGGAACTGAGACAACAGGGCACGGATATTGATTGGTGGCCGTATTTACAGATAAAATCAAGATATAAAAGTGATATGGAAAAATTTGGAATCCAAAAAGAAAGAAATTTATTTATTTATTTATTTATTATTCGAATTTCTATACCGCCCTTCTCCTTTCGGACTCAGGGCGGTGAACAGCCAAAATAAAAACATTTATACATAAATACGATTAAAAATAGATTTAAAATAATTAAATTTGGCCCATAGTTTAAAATTTATCAATTTAAAATCCATATCAAAATTTAAAACCAACCATAAAATCATAAAATCAAGAGAGACCGGCTAACTGAAAGAGATGAGTTTTTAGGGCCCGATGAAAGGTCCGGAGGTCGGAGATCACTCGTATCTCTGGGGGTAGATTGTTCCAAAGGGTAGGTGCCACCACAGAGAAGGCTCTCCTCCTGGGGGTCGCCAGCCGGCATTGTCTAGCCGACGGCACCCTGAGGAGGCCCTCTCTGTGGGAGCGAACTGGCCGGTGGGAGGCAATTGGTGGCAGAAGGCGGTCCCGTAAGTACCCCGGCCCTAAGCCATGGAGCGCTTTAAAGGTGGTCATCAACACCTTGAAGCGCACCCGGAAGTCCACCGGAAGCCAATGCAGCTCGCGCAGGAGAGGAGTCACATGGGAGCGCCCAGTCGCTCCCATAATCCCCCGCGCGGCCGCATTCTGCACCAGTTGGAGCCTCCGGGTGCATGAATTAGATAAAATGATGAATCTAATCTAATAATGAATTAGATAAAATTATAATGCAATCAGATGACAAATTAATAACTAAAATATATAATTATCTACTAAAATACAAATTGGAAGAAGAGGTGGTGAAGGAAAATATGATTATTTGGGCTAAAAACTTTGGATATAATATTAACCTTGAAAATTGGGAAAAAATATGGAAAGTAAATACTAAGCTGACAATGTCCGTGCCCTACAAAGAAAATACATACAAGATGTTTTATAGGTGGCATCTCCCCCCTGCACGGTTGGCAAGGATGTTTCCCAATACTAATCAGAACTGTTGGAAGTGTAAAATACAGAAGGGGACCTACTACCACATGTGGTGGTCATGCCCAAAAGTCAAAAAATTTTGGAAAACAATTCAAAGTCAGCTGGAAGAAATTACCGCCCAAAAAGTACCCCTCAGACCGGGGAGTTAATTTTTTTCTATATCTGCCTTTTAAATATTGCTGTAAGGAGACTATTAAAACATGCTAAGTTGGTACTTTTCAGAATTTATGGACAATTATATAATGTAAATACTTCCTGGCTTTTAAAAAAAAGGTGGGGGAGCTGCTGCTCAGAAGTCATTCCTGGGTAGGTTGATCCAGTTGAACTTCCAAATCTTGGGTACATATTTTAAGTGTGATGATTGCTCAGTTATAGCCCGTCATTAAAAAGGTCTCCCTGGAGAAGCCTAATATTGTATGTTTCTCCAGAAAAAAAAATGGCCTATTCCATATTGATTCATAATAGTTTGCAATATGAAAAAAACCCAGTTATTCAGAAAAGTGTG